AAATGATCATTATTTTTTATACATGAAGGACTATTTCAATTAAGTGGTATATATCAGGGACCATAACTTACTACTCAGCGGAAGACTGGCACTCGAGAACCATTACTGACCCCAAGCGAACCCTTGGCCTAACTTACTACACAACAGAAGACATAAATAACAGCAAAATAGTCTCAAAAATTTAAGCTCAAGGAATAACATAGAATTTCTTGAAAGAACATTAAGCTGGCCAATATGGCAACACAAGATTCAACATAAGTCAATAACAAGAAAATGACAAATGAACTAACTAACTGTCTATGAAGCCTCTAACAACTTAGATGGATGTCGGGACAAGACCCACAACATCCTAATGAACTAACTATAAAACTGTAAAAAGGGGTCCACCGAAAGAAAGGAGGGTCACCAACAACTCTGAAGCTCACCTAGAATCAACGAAGCACTGGATGCTGATCCTGGTTACCTGTATCTGCATTATAATAATGACGCAGGCCAAATGGTATTAGTACATTGAATGTACGACCATGCAAGGGGAATTCTAAACAATACATAAGCTTGAACTGGAATCTGAAAGAAACAATTACCTCAACTTTACTCAAACTCATGGGTACTCAACTCAAATGCAAAATTAAACAACATAAAAGATGCAGTTTATATGAAGCATTTAAAATAGTAAGAAATAATATAATATACATATATAATAGAGTAATATAACTTTGTGGGAGTTTCTCTAACCGACAACCATCACTATGAGCTATGTGATGATACTGCGTCTCGCCCACGTTGCCAGAACTATCCTATAACTTTCCGGGATATAGAACGTCTCAACTAAGTTGATCCACTAGTCTATGCAAAAAATTACTAAGGAATCATCTAAAAAGTATGACCCTTTTCTACCCACGTTGGCTACATAGTTTATGGAGACATTGAGTTGTTATGAATTCGTCCCCACATCTGTGCTCAATACTGCTTCCAAAATACTCCGCTCATAGGTTAAAAAAATAAAAACCCTTTCTGTGGTTTGAGATAATTACTCAAAAATTAGTTCAAAGGCTCTCTTGGAAATCAGTGTTTCCTCTCTTGTTTAGATGTGAAAAACATTTGCTCTTTGGGAATACTTACTTCCCATATACTCTTTTTGAAGAAATGAACTTCAATTGTTACTCTTACTTAACTCAAAATTCAAGTCTTAAATCAAGATTAAAACATTTGTAAAAGGCTACTTGAAAGGACTCTAAGAACTTTCTAGACTAGGGTCTTAACTTTCCTTGAATTTGAATTTATGAATTCAAGGTTATGATTCATGTTTATGGATAATTTCTAGGTGTTTAGAAGTCATTTGGAGTAGTTAGAATCGATAGGAAGTGTTAGTAAACTTTAGAAGAACTCAAACGGGACAAACAATGAAAACTAGGTTGGGGCGGATAGCCCTGGCGCAATACTAGCCCCACGCGCTAGCCCCAAATTTCAGAGAGCCATTTCTTTCGCACTTCTGGCGCGCCACCCCAGCCTCCCTGACGGTAAGGGGGAGCGTCGCGCCAGCATCCCCCTTGGAAAAAATTGATGACCTTTTGCTCTTTTTATATGACTTTAATTCGATTAATTTCGATTCTTTTTCTCAATATCTCTTTATATTCAGTTACCCAAAAAGATATACACAAGAATCTAACCAAAAGCAAATCTAATAATCAACACTAACTCATAACCCCTTCATGGGTAAAAATTTCAAGTATACCCAATCATCTACTTCAAACTCTAACTCCCTCCTCCTAACATCAGTTTAAGATTTCTAGCGACACTGCATTGTTTTCAACCTCTCTGGAATAACCTTCACTTTCTTCATAGCTTGATGAACTAAGTCTGATCCTATCAACTTAGCTTTACCAACCTCGAACCATCCAATAGGAGATCTGCATCTTCTCCCATAAAGAGCCTCATACGGAGACATTTGGATGCTAGAGTGGTAACTATTGTTATAAGAAAACTCAATGAGAGGTAGGTGATCATCCCAATTACCTTTGAAATCAATCACACAGGCCCTCAACATATCTTCTAAGGTCTGAATAGTGCGCTCTGCTTGAACATCTGTCTAAGGATGAAAAAGAGTACTCAAGTTCACCTTTGAACCCAAGCCATTCTGAAAAGATTTCTAGAATTGTGCAGTAAATCGTGCACCTCTATCTGATATAATCGAAACAGGGACTCCTTGAAGTCTTAGTACCTATTGAATGTATAACTTGGCATAATCCTCTGATAAATGGGTAGTCTTTACTAGCAAAAAGTGGGTTGATTTGGTCATTCGATCCACAATCACCCAAAGAGAATCATGTTGCATGCGAGACCGTAGATAAGCCCATAATGAAATACATATTAATCATCTCCCACTTCCATTCCGGAAGTTCTATATTCTGAGCCATACCACCAGACCTTTGGTGCTCTACTTTAACTTGTTGACAATTTGGGCATTTAGCAACGAACTCAGCAATACCTTTCTTCATAATATTCCACCAATATACTTATTTCAAGTCACAATACATCTTTGTGTAACCCTGATTAATGGAATATCTGGAGCTATGAGCTTCCTCCATGATCCGAGAATCATGTTGCATGCGAGACCGTAGATAAGCCCATAATGAAATACATATTAATCATCTCCCACTTCCATTCCGGAAGTTCTATATTCTGAGCCATACCACCAGACCTTTGGTGCTCTACTTTAACTTGTTGACAATTTGGGCATTTAGCAACGAACTCAGCAATACCTTTCTTCATAATATTCCACCAATATACTTATTTCAAGTCACAATACATCTTTGTGTAACCCTGATTAATGGAATATCTGGAGCTATGAGCTTCCTCCATGATCCTCTCTTGGAGTTCATCCATCCTTGGTACCCAAAACCTACCTTGATACCTCAAAATGCCATCTCCCCCTTGTTCAAAATCCATCACTTTTTGCTTATGAACACTTGCCTTTAATTCAAGAAAAATAGGATTTTGGTCTTGATTTTGTTTCATTTCTGACACTAATGATGATTCAGCCCCATTCATCACCACTACTCCTCCTTCTGTGGAATCCATTAATCAAACTCCTAATCATGCAAGTCTGTGCACATATTTAGCTAACTATTTCATATTCTTCATCAACATGGGGAGTACTACACATAGACAACCTGCTCTCAAGGCATCAACTTTAATATTAGCCTTACCTAGGTGATAGAGGATACTCATGTCATAATCCTTGAGTAACTTCAACCACCTCCTCTGTCTAAGATTATGCTCTTTCTGACTAAAAGCCTAGTGAAGGCTCTTGTGATCGGTGAATACATCTACATGAACACCATAAAGATAATCACGCCATATTTTCAAAGCAAACACTATGGCAGCAAACTCAAGATCATGGGTTGGGTAATTCTTCTCGTGAACTTTAAGCTGTCTGGAGGCATAAGCTATATCTTTACCATTCTGCATTAACACACAAACCAAACCAACTCTGGACGCATCACAATATACTACAGGTCAATACTAGGGCAGTAGTCAACCTCTTTTTCAATTCCTGAAAGTTTTTTTCATAATCTTCAGGCCATTGAAACTTCACTATTTTCTGAGTCAACTTGGTCAAAGGGGACGCAATAGATGAGTACCCGTCTACGAACCTTCTATATTATCCAGCCAACCGCAAGAAGCTCCTAGTATCAATTGGAGATGTGGGTCTAGGCCAATTATGCACTGCCTCTATTTTTAGAGTATCAACTCTAATTCCATCATCGGAAATAATGTGGCCTAAGAATGCCACAGACTCAAGCTAAAACTTACATTTATAGAACTTAGCATATAACTCTCTATCCTTTAGAGTTTGGAGAACTATTCTGGGATGGCTAGCATGATCTTCCTCATTCCTCGAATAGATTAGTATGCCATCAATGAATACGATAACAAACATATCTAAATAAGGCTTCAATACTCTATTCATAAGGTCCATGAACGCTGCATGCACATTAGTTAAACCGAACAACATGACCAGAAACTCATAATGACCATAATGGGTCAGGAAAGCTGTCTTTGGAATGTCACATTCCCTTACTCTTAACTGATGGTAGCCAGATGTAAGGGCTATCTTAGAGAAACAAGTGGCACCCTAAAGCTGATCGAAGAGATCATCAATTCTCGGAAGAGGATACCTATTCTTGATAGTAACCTTGTTCAACTAACGGTAGTCTATACACGTTATAAGAGAACCATCCTTCTTCCTCACAAATAAGACCGGAGAGCCCCATGGTGAGATGCTTGGTCGAATATAGCCCTTTTCAAGGAGATATACTGCTTTTTTAACTCTTTCAATTCTGCTAGAGCCATTCTATATGGAGGAATAGATATTGGACAAGTATCGGCAATCGTCTGGAAAGACCTCCAGAAACTCACTCACAATTGGAAGTGACTCAATAGGAGGAGTCTTAACACTAGAATCATTAATTTTGACTAAGTGATAGATACACCCCTTGGAAACTAACTTTCTCGCCTTAAGGTACGAAATAAAATGACCTTTACGCACTGCTGAACTACTCCTCCACTCAATCACTGGCTCATTAGGAAATTGAAACTTAACAACTCAAGTTCTACAATCAAAGGAGGCGTAATAGTCGTGAAGCCAGTCTAAATAACATCAAAATCTACCATGTCTAACTCAACTAAATCAACCATGGTGCTCTTGTGATTGATGGAAATGGTAGAATCATGGTAGACTCTCTCAGCTAGAATAGACTCACCAACAGGTGTAGAAACACTAAAAGGCTCAAAAAGTTTCTCAGGATGAGCATCATAATTCATCGCAACATAGGAGTCACAAAATATAGACTAGCTCCTTAATCTAGCAAAGCATAAACATCAAAAGTAAAGACTTTGATCATACCAGTGACAACATCTGGAGAATTCTCTTGCTCTTGAAGACTAGTGATCGTATATAGGCAGTTTGCTTCTCCGCCAGTACCTGAAGTAGCTCCTCAAGGTGCAGCCCTTCCTAGTGGAGCAATTGAAGAAGATTGGGCTCTATTGCCCCTATATCCATTTCCCTGCCTGTTCTTAGGACACTCTTTCATGAAGTGAGCCTCTTGACTGCACTTGAAACATCTAGTAGAGCCATCGCGACAAGCACCTAGGTGGTTCCTACCACACTTAGCACATGTAGGAGCCCAATTACCTCCATATGCTACACTACCCAGAGACTGAGCAGGTCTAGCTCTGAAATTTTGTGAATTCTGACTATTATACTCACTTTTGTTCCTTGGTGCAGGTGCACTAGAAGATGGTGTATCAGACCCGTTTTGATTATGTTGAAAGGTAGAGCAGTTCATATTACTTATTTGCTGCCCGAAATCACTCCCTATCTTAGCTTTCTTGTTTCTCAATTCTTTTATATCCCTCAACTTCTCTTCCTCAACATGCAACACATATACCAAACGTCTCGCTATGTCCATGTCCCCTATTAGCATAGTTGCCTTGCCTTCCTTACTTGACATACAAGACAATCCAGCAACAAACAGATTCATCCTACTCTTCATATCCAGACCCATCTCCGGAGCATATCAGGAAAGTTGGGTGAACTTCAAACTGTACTAATGAACAATCATGGGTTCCTGCTTAAAGGTAAGTAATTCCCGTACCTTGTCTTCTCTCAGTTCACAAGGAAAGAAACGCCCAAGAAAGCACTCTTGAACATAGCTCAACTCAAAACCGGTGCATCCTCAGCCCTGGTCTTCTTCAACTGGTCAAACCAAATACTAGCAACACTCTTCAGTTGATAGGCACCTAGTTCCAGTTGCTCAGCATCGGCAATGTGCATAACCTCAAACACTTTCTGCAATTCCTCTACAAAGGTCTCTAGATCCTCAGTAACACTCGATTCAATGAAGCTTGGAGCATACATCTTCAAGAACTCATGAATCCTTGAAGTATCAGCCACTTCCTGTCAAGCCCCTCTTTGTTGCCCAACCTGGTTAGTCACAACTTGACTTAGCATTCAGATTGCTTCCCGAAATTCAGAATTAGTCATCTCTCCTTAGGGTTGCACTTCTGGTGCATTAGGTACCCTTTGCTCCTCAATGTTCCTCCTAGAAGAACGACCTCAGACAACTCTTTGTGGAGGCATGATCTGAGAGACATGCGCAGGCACAAATTAGAAGGAAACTTTATAGAGATTAACTCTATCGCACAACATGAATATGAAAGAAGTGAGATAGTTACTAAATGTTGCAACCTCCTAATTATAGATATGGCACGCTTCGGACCGATAACTAGGACTCTTCAAACATATCTTCATAGACTCTCTAGGAATCTTGAACTCTGTGCTCTGATACCAAGTTTGTCACGCCCCGAGCCTACACCCTCGGTGGGATTGGCACTTGAGAACCATTGTTGGCCCCAAGCGAACCCTTGGCCTGGCTTACTACTCAGCGGAATACTTAAATAACAAGAAAATAGTATAAAAAAGGTAAACTCATGGAATAACTTAGAATGTCTTAAAAAGAACATTCAACTAGCCAAAATGGCAACACAAGATTCAAAATAAGCCAATAACAAGAAAAATGAAAAGTGAACCAACTAATTGTCCATGAAGCCTCTAACAACTGAGATTGACATCGGGACAAGATCCACAACATCCAAATGAACTAACTATAAAGCAGTAAAAAGGGGTCCTCCGAAAGGGAGGAGGCTCACCAATAACTCTGAAGCTCAACTAGAATCAACAAAGCGTTGGATGCCAATCCTGGTTAGTTGTATCTGTAACATACCAATGATGTTGGCCAAACGGCGTCAGTAATGGAATGTATGAGCATGCGAGAAGAATTCGAAATAATACATAAGCTTGAACTGGAATCTAAAAGAAACACTTACCTCTACTTTACTCAAACTCATGGATAATCAACTCAAATGAAGAATTAAACAACATTAAAGATGCAGTTTATATGAAGGATTTAAAATAGTAATAAACAACTCAATATACATATATAATAAAGTAATATAACTTTGTTGGAGTTTCTCTAACCGACAACCATCACTATGAGTTATGTGATAATACAACGTCTCGCCCACGCTGTCAGAACTATCCTATAACTTGCCGGGACATAGAACGTCTCAACTAAGTTGATCCACTAGTCTATGCGAAAAGTCACTAAGGAATCATCTAAAAAGTATGACCCTTTTCTACCCACGTTGGCTACATGATTTATGGAGACATTGAGTTTTTATGAACTCGTCTTCACATCGGTGCTCAATACTGCTTCCAAAATACTCCGCTCATAAAGTAAAAAAGTAAAAACCCTTTCTGTGGTTTGAGATAATTACTCAAAAACTAGTTCAAAGGCGCTCTTGGAAATCAGTGATTCCTCTCTTGTTTAGATGTGAAAAACATTTACTCTTTGGGAATACTTACTTCCCATATACTCTTTTTGAAGAAATGAACTTCAATTGTTACTCTTACTTAACTCAAAATTCAAGTCTTAAATCAAGATTAAAACATTTGTAAAAGGCTACTTGAAAGGACTCTAAGAACTTTCTAGACTAGGGTCTTAACTTTCCTTGAATTTGAATTTATGAATTCAAGGTTATGATTCATGTTTATGGATGATTTCTAGGTGTTTAGAAGTCATTTGGAGTAGTTAGAATCGATAGGAAGTGATAGTAAAATTTAGAAGAACTCAAACGGGCTAAACAATGAAAACTAGGTTGGGGCGGACGGCCCTGGCACAATATTGGCCCCACGCGCCAGCCCCAAAGTTCAGAGAGCCATTTCTGGTGCACTGCTGGCGCGCTGCCCCATCCTTCCTGGCACTACGGGGGCGCGTCGTGCCTGCATCCCCTTATGCAAAACTGACGATTTTTATCTCTTGTTTTCTAACCTTAGTTCGATTAATTTTGATTCTTTTTCTCGATATATATTTAGATTCAGGTACCCAAAACATATACGCAAGAATTTAACTCAAAGTAACTCTAATAATCGACATTAAACTCTCAAGAACTCCTGAATCTCATTCCAAATTCAAGAACGAAAGCAATTCGAGAACACAACTTAAGAACATCAAATTCTCAATCTTTTTAGAATGAAAATACACTGAATAACATGTTTGGCTCGTAGGTGAACGAAACCAATGCAATGTGAACTCACATAGCTCGTAGATTCAAATCCTTGGCGAAATCCGCAATCAATTCCTCAAAAAAATCGATGAATCTAGACCTTTTCTTCTCCTATCTCCTCTTGTGTTCTTTTTCTAAAAAACCCTACGTGATTTTCAATTGTGTAAATTGAACCAATTCAGTTTAGATTCAATTTAATTACCAAGAACGAATTCAATTAATTGGGTAGTAAAAAAAACATAATACCCTCCTAAAATCCAGTTTTAACTTTCCTTTTCTAGACAACCCCAACTTCGAACGGGCATATCTTCCTCATACAAACTCGAAATTAAGCAAACTTGGTGTCGTTGGAATGATAATTCAAAGAGATTTCCTACAATGTCTTGTAGCACACGTAACTCATCTTGATCTAGGAGTTATGGTCGTTTGAAGTTGACCCAAAACTCATACTTAGCTTAACTTTGTCAAACTTTCCAACTTTGATTATTTCCAAAAAAAAGGTTTCTTTCTAATTCTAAGTCTTTCTAGTGGCGGGGTGTTACAGTGGACATCTACACTATAATATTTTATAACACATGCAAATAATATTAATTATTATCTCCTAACCAATTATTTTGTTTAACCTGCACACTGCCCACCCGTGCTCCAATTTTTTGGGGCAAATTAATTGCTCTCTTTGGTAAAATTTATTGTTCCTTGAAATTATATTTTATCAATATTCTTAGTCATAGTACTCCCTCCGTTCCTTTTATAAGATCCTTACTATAAATAGTTTGTCCATAATACTTGTCATTTCATAAAATCAATGCATAAATTACAATATTCTTCCTATTTTATCTATGCGAGTTATTAGCCTTGAAAATATACATTTGACCAACATAGATAAACAAAGTGAATATTTCATATTCATTGGCCAAATTAATTAATCAACATAAATTAATTTATATTTATTGATTGAAACGTTTACTTCAAAAAAAATTAAGTAAGGGTAGAATAGTAAAGTTACTTATGAAATAAAAAATGGTGACATATAGAGAGAAATGGCGGGAGTATTATAAATGGTAAATGTTTTGTGACTTCTTCCGTTGTGGTACAAAAGTTACTCTTGACATTACACTAATTTCTGGTGTCTTCCTCCAATTTGATCAATTTTCAAAGCTAAATTTAATTAAATTAATACACTACTTAAAATACAATTTAGATATTCATATAATACACAAAAAGTACTATAAATTCATCTCATATTAATATGCTAATGAAATATATCTTACAATGTTGACTAAAGTTCATATAATTTAACTCTTAAAAGATGAAACATGACAACTATTTATATATTTAAAATAAATCTCTACAACCAAACATATCATGAAAATTTTGTATGCATATAAATATACACACAAAGTTCTTATAAATAAATAATTGAAAATATAAATGTATTAATAAGTTTGAAGTGCAAGGAAGTTATAATAGTATGTCTTATGAAGTATTTGTGGAATTTAAAATTTTAATTTATCTATTAGTAATTACCCCCTCTGTCCAACAATACGTGTACACTATTGACTTTGCATACTTCTTAAGAAACTATGTTGGAGAACTTTTACCAACAACAACATATCCAGTAAATCCCACAAGGTGGGGTTTGGAGAGGATATGATGTACCCAGACCTTACCCCTACCTCGTGGAGGAGGAGAGATTGTTTCCAAAACACCTCAACTAAAGTAACTCATACAAATCAATGTTAAAAAAAACAGACATATGCAATATAAACATAACAAATAATAAATAAATCATTATGTAGCTTTCAAGTCTATCAAATAAAAGATGATAGAGGGAAACCGATTAAAGGAACCTACTAGGAATGAAAGAATAGAACGATTCTTTGTGTTGTCAATTATTTAACTAGAATTTGGAACTGCAACATGAAGCACGCATGCTAGTGACTGCCACTAGTTACTGCTCAAGGAATCCCCCATAAACATGAAATTTTTGCCTCTGATGTTTTCAAGAGAATTTCACCATTGAACCTACTTACACAATAATTCATACAAATGCATTTAAACAATTCTTTGATGATAAATATATAAGTTGCAATTTGAATTGCTGATTCTGTATAAATTTGTGTACAAAACCATGGCATTGCATAATAAATTTGATATATATTGAATATCAACCAATCTGTCACGATCCAAGCCGACACCCTGGACGTGGTCGGCACTCAAAAATTATTGTTGCCTCCCAAGCAAATCCTCATCATGGCTAACTACAAGCAGAAGACTAACTCAAGCATACACAAACATCAAACTCAAAGAAATGTGTAACAACAATTTACTCAATCTCAAATCTCTCTGAATGTACTGAATATAAAATATAAATTTTAAATAAGACATCAAAAACTGTAAGACTCTAAAAAATTGCCTATCTATGAAACCTCCACCTTAT